CTAGTCACACATGCAACTTTTAGTTGCCTATTTAAGTAGTCCACCCTAAGGTTCTACACTAGATGCCATACCTATAATCTACTAGAAGATTATTCATTTAAACCCTTTGATCATCCATCCTGTCATATTGGAATTCTCAAACTAACCCCCTGTATATACCTATCCAGTATACTGTCTGAGCAGTATGGTACCTACCCTTTTTGTACTGATTCTTAGGCCATTACACATTTCAGAGTATGTTACCTGCCAGTAAGGCACAGGGGGCCCCCTGTTGTTAACTATCTATCCACTTTTAGAACACTAACACAGGCTACCCTTACAGAGTTTACTCAGACCCCAGTACTGACTTCACAGCATATTTCTAGTACCTTTAGTATACCCCTACTTTGAACCCAGACTCCCAATCCAGATAGCCCAAAAGGACTGTGATCTGTTCTTGGTATATTGAGGCCAGCCTAATATTCTTTTTCTTCAGTCCAAAATCCGGTGGTCTGGTTGGTAGTACCTCTCATCCAAGGTTCTTGCCTGCCCGAATCTTTCATATTAGAATCTATTTCCTAGGTCTAGCCTTTACAGTAGTACCGTCGAAGATCTGTGTTACCTTTCTGCTTGGAATTTCCAAGTGGGCTCTGGCTTCCCAGTTTTACAGATTTACATGACCTGAAGACTTATTTTAAGTTTGCACTGCCCGGTACTAGTTTGCATTTCTCTGTATAACAGGTTACACAAATGCCCCAGACCTGCCAGTCATGCTGGTGTGACTATAGTTACAGGTATCCTATCCTAACTGATCGACAGAATGCTATCACCATAATATTGTCTATATATTACATAGGTAATTATCCAAATTTCACTATCAGTAGGTTTTGAACTCATAACCTACTACTTGGGGGTATGACAACTTATCTACTTCACTAAGTCACCACACTCCATATTGGATTAATTTGAATTTGGTCAAATAAATATGTCTTTGATTTGATTTGATCAAATATTTGAATCAAATATTTGAATTTAATTTGGTTTTTAAAAAAATTTAAAATTTTGATCAATAAAAAAAAAACTTAATTTACAAAAATTTTACTATGTTAATTAATCTTGAGCTTTTAAGTAAAAATGTTTATTTAAACAAAATACTCTAGTTTTATAAAATGAAAAGTCAATTGTTTTAATAAAATTTTGAGTAAATAGCTTATAATTTTGAACATTCAATTATAAATTTTCAAATCAAATCAAATATTTATCAAATCAAATTAAATTTGATCATATTTGAATTTAATTTGATATAAAAATTTCAAATTTGAATTTGATTTGAACTCAAATATTTGATCAAATCAAATTAAATCAAATTTTAGAATCTTTGTACACAGGTATTAATTTACAAATCATATAATAATACTTTTTATTAAGAAAAGACAAACTTTGCTTAAGGTTAAAGTAAAATATATAATGAAGTATTTAATTGACTAATTGTGACAAAGATATGTAAAGACCTCTAATTAAACTAATTATAACAGTTTATTATATAATTGTATTGTTATATTAATAGATACTATTTTTTAATATAAATTAATTATATAAATATAATAAATGTTAAAAATTCACTTTTTTTTTTATTATTAGTTATTTGAATATAAAAGTAATAAAATATAGATTAAAAAAACATACTTTTTAATTTGGCATGAGTTTTTTTGAGAACTTATCAATGTCATGAAACCAGTTTTTATTTTCATTGAATAACATATCCATCTAACCAACTGCTATACAATCTTATTGATAGTTCTTTATAACATACTCTAAATACAAATACACTTGATACTATTTCAGAAATGATAACCAAACTATATTGCCAAATTAGACAACTGTATTGTATGAATACACACAATACAGTAAATCTACCATTAGTATTTTCAACCTTATCTGACTTAGTATTACATAAAATTATCTCTATTATCTCAAATTTATTATTTAAAAAATTAGTTACAACACTTGTTATTAAATTTTTACTTCATCTTAATCAACAAATATATTATAAAATTTGGATTTCTTACTGTATTTCAAGATCAACATCTTATCTTTCTACTTTTAACTAACTCTCAAATTTTACTTTACATTTATTTTAATCTTTTTTTTTTAATTCAATTCATTCTAAAATTAACTTCTGATATATACAATAGAGCAAATACCAAACTAACCTTTCATATATAATTACTAATAATCAAATCTAGATGAGCCTTGGCCACTCTTGTTAGTTTAGGTCACAGATAAACTAATCTGAGCTTCTATTCTTTTTTTTTATTTTTTTTATTTTTATTTTTATCTCTTTCCACTATTCTAAAGGTCTTTAAATACCTTTAGGACCTGTTATATCTTTTAAAGGCCAGAGTTATTATTCTGTGAAGATCATTAGATAGTATATGACTCTTGTATGTCATCGAACTGTGAGATAACTCATGCTCTATTAAGTCTGTCATATGATGTTCTGAGTCTCTGATGTTTCTACTCTTTTTATAATGTTTTTAATAGTAAATTTATATTTTATGTAAAAATTTCAAATAAATATTCAATAAAGATAGAGGCATGGCCTTACCATTAATATTAAAAAAAAAAAAGTATTAATGTTTGTATAAACTTTACATATAATGTAAATTAAAAGTAATTGTAATAACAAAAATCATATATAATTTTTTTTTTAAAAAAAAAGTATGTTAATAGAAAAAAAACAAATATTTTTAATAATTTTTTTTAACTATTTAATCAAATTTAATAAATATTTTTTATTTTAATTTTAGAATTATATAAAATTAAAATAAAAAAAATTACTAGCATATCTTAATATATAGTATATTAATATGTATAACTAAAATTACTAATAAAGATATAAGCAAGACCTTATTTTAACAAATAATTATAATAATAATAAATTATCAAGTTTAAAGCTAAAAAAACTTTTTTTTTAAAAAAATTGGTTTTTTCTATTAACTTCTTTCCAAATAAATAAAGTTTCTTTTATTTGCAAAAAATTTTAGCTTTTTAGTAAAAACGTTAGTATGAATGTTAGCAATTCGATGTGCTAGACTATCCAATAAAAATGCGATCACGTGAAGGGAATTCGGAAGATTTATCTATAGTAGGAATGCGAGTACACACTATACCGTATTATACCATTAGACTAATAATAGAAACTGGTTGGCCAATTAAATTGCTTCATATGCAATTCCGAAATTCTCCCTTATAATAATTCCGAAAAAATCCGAATCATATTAAGCTGAGAGCATAGTGGTGGTTATACCATGCTATACGGTGTTATATGGTATTAATACCTGGTCCGGTATAATCGCATCCCTAATCTATAGGCATTTTAATCATCGGTTCTGAGATAGTGCGACATAGTTTATCATCGGCTCTGGGATAGTGAGACAAAGCTTATCTTACGTACGTAAACAACTGATAAACCAAAAACGGTTATTATTCTTATCTTTTAGAAAAAAAAAATTATATAGCGATGTTACCTTATTTTGATTGATGCAGTTGTTTGATTTGGCATTTCTTCTATTAAGAAATGGGTCACTCCGCTTTTGTATGTACCATTTTTGGCATAGTAATAAAATTTTTTTGTTTTTAGCGGCAATAAATAAATACTTACCGTTAATAAGTAAATAATTGACGAATATAACGAAATGCACAAGAAAAATTCCAATATAAGCTTTTGCTTTCAGACTTTAATCCTTTCAAAACTTCTCCTTTTTAAAGACAAACAGTCACTGCAAAACCTTTTTCGAAAAGCATTTTTATATCTACAATTGTAATCATAAAAATTATCACTGTTATCTTCGAGGTTGACCCTTTTGTATATAAAATAATGCCTCGACAAAAAAAACGTACTCATGCGACCTTAGCATGTATAAATTGTCGACTGAGACATGAAAAATGCGAAAGAATTCCTGGGGAGGATATTTGTACAAACTGTAAAGAATACAATCGACCCTGTGTTTCTATCCCTGGTAACAAACGTGGACCAAAGTCCCGAAGACAAAATCCTGGGTTTGCAAATCCCCAGCCTTTTTCAAATATTAGCTCTTGCGGAGCAACTCAGACCAACAACACTCAATATCAACTCACGACCGGTATCGAGTACTCATGCTTGACTCCAGGAGTTTGCACTCAATATCAACTCACACCCAGTGTCGAGAGCTATTTATACCTGATACCAGAAAAGTATCAAGAGCAACTTACGCCATGTAGTTTGTGTGGCTTATACCCAGTATCGGGAACTACTGAAGTATTCCAAAATACTCTCACTAATCAATCCTCCTCAACATCTTTTCTCTCATCCTCTTTTGCATATGAAGAATCCGCGTTAAATATTGATCGTCCAACTATTAGTGGTCCTTTAACTATTAATTTGACATCATTATCTAAACCTTTTAATTACTTCCGTTTCGGCTAATCAACACATAATTATTTGAACCACTTGTATATACTGAAAATCTCCGTTATAACCATTATAAATTATTTATATATTAAAAATTCGGTTCTTTACAATTTGTTCATTAGACTGGTGAATCCGGTCTAAGGGTGTCCGTTATATCGGTAGTTGACAATATATATTTCTCTTTAGATTGATATATATGTATATATATATATTGTCATATTTATTTTCGTTGCATTTACTTTTTGTTGCATTCTTTTTGGTACATCCTTTTTCGGTACGTCTCTTCGGTGCATTCTTTTTATTGGAGTATTCTCTTTTTTTTCAGTACATTCACTAAAATATTTTCGTTTTCGTCATAAACATCTCATTTATCGTAGACATTTTTTCACCGCAAACACTTTTTATAAACTATTTATTTCCTTTCCGTCTTAATTATGAATAGATTTATTACAAACACAAACATTTTCTTCGTTGCTACTTATATAACAAATTTCTCTTTTGTTGTAGAATTTCTCATTATAAACCTTATTTATTTTTTTCATTGCGAAAAAATTTCTCATTATGAAAAATTTATTTTTACGAGCGTTTTTATTGCAACAATTTTTTTTTTAAAAAAAAATCACAAACAGCGCCATTGGTCAAACATTCTGTTCTAAGTGTAAAATACTTATCCGAATCTATATGAGTTAAAAATTTTTAAGGTATATGAATATGATAATTAAATATTGAAGGGTTTTCATAAACTTACAACAAATGAGGGCTGCAAAGGGAAAACCTGTAATCGTGAGTTTTCCGTAATTAATTTTATAGAGAAACATGATTTATTAAATAGAATTCATTATCATTATCGTTATACTGTTATAGCGATAGAATTTATTATAATCCATCAAGAATCTGAAAAGCGGAGCTGGCAAAAACCGAAATTACAGGTTTTCGCTTTGCAGCCCTCAAATGATTACTGTAACGTACTGGGATTTAAAATCAAACATCGGTACTTAATAACTCGAATAGCACTAATGACTTATAGATAAATATATATGTATTCAATTAAGCAATATACAAATTGCATTTTAATTTATTTTCGCTATATATATGTGTTCTTTTTTTATTAACGTTACATCCTTAATTTACAATATATTAAAATAAAAATTTTCGAAAAAGAGTTAAAACTATCGCCAATAAAAATTTTCTCCTATATCCAATAAAAATATTCTCCTCCTATATGTAGGTGTCTAAGTTAATTTTCTTAATAAATAATTACAATTGGCGAAATTATTGTCAAGACTACTTTCTTAAATAAAATACATTAATATAAAAAATATGGCAACGGCGAAATTTTTTGCAAAATTGCTTTTTTTTTCAAAAGTAATTTATACGCCATGTATATCATTGTACTATCCTTCTCGAAGTTTTTTTCTTTAGTAGACCAATCGTGTTTAACTATTTTCTTCGTTGAGAAAAAGTTCCTCAAAAATTTCAATAAACTTTATCACTTATAGATTATTTTTATTAATATGTAAAAAATATAGCCAATTTTTCTATGACGAACTGACAGTTCTGAAAGAAATACAAAGTTCGTTATAGAAAATTACAATGTTTTTTTAAAGACCAATTGCACTTCTATATCGAACTATTATGAAATTTTAAAATTCTAAGTTAGTTATATCCAGAGTTCGTACATAGAGATTAATTATATCCAAAGTCGACTGTATAAATAGCTTGCATAATAATAAAATAAAAAATAATACCTTCACTGGTATTTCTTTTAATTTAATAGCTTTATCATTTGTAGCTTTAACGTTACTAGCATTTGAATCATATTCGTCCATACTTAAATCTATCTCAGCTTCCTTATAATCACAATATTTCACTTCGGGATTAGATAATGCGGCGGGTATACAATTTGTTGGGGTTCATGAAGAAATGGATGTTTATTATTACATGGAATCTTATTAACATATTGAAAAAAGAGTTGTCCATGTTCCTAGTGGTTGTGAAACTAAATGTTTGCGATGAGAAACCGACTTTTAAGAAATGTATAAACATCAATAACACTTTTTAAAATCAGATTAAGTAAAACTTTTTTTCATATATTCGCTTTTTACTTTCTTTAATACATGTTAAGCATTCAGAACGAGTTTTTTTTTCACAAAAAAGTTTTTTGATTTCTGCTCGGTTTGCAATATAAAGAAGTAAAAAAAAAAGTATAAATTTATTGCTTACCGTAATTTAAAATTTTTATTGTTAATTAAATTTGATTGAGTTTAAACCGTAACTGATTTCTTGGCGGCGCTTGGTTCGTGATTACTGTAAAGTATACTTTGATCCATTATGATGCCATATTTTCTAGTACAAATGGCAAAAAAATAAACAAATGAATAAATAAATAAAGCATTAACATGCAATATTTTATATATTTCAATTTTGTAACTGTCGTTTTTATTGAAATTTTTAAATTGATCATGAATCAACATAAAACAACTTTGACACGCCAGAGTAATTCTTGTAAAGAAGTAAGTAAGGATGTTAATTAACAAGCAAATGAAAAAGCTTATGACAAAGCATTAATACATTGGTTGTAACTAACTAATCCGTTTTTTTTAAAATCAATTTGTTATTCCTCTACTCTACACACTAACAAGACGGCCTACTAAATTATTGAAATAGCAAGATGACCATGTCATGATACATATTATAACTGGTTACTTTCGCATAACACTATCTCTGATATCGAATGTAGTCATGTCCAATTCATTATCATTATTGTCATGAATAATTCCAAGAAGGCTTCAATGATTTCTTTTAGGTTGGATAGATTTATATTCAAAATAAATTAAATTATACCAAATTGAAAAACGAGAATGATATAAATTCTTTATTTAACATAATTTGATAATTCATGTGAGCTTTGCTTATATGCATACCACCATAACATTTCTTATAAATTAATTGTTGAAAGTATTATTTGAAACTACAGTATTAAAGAATCTGTTCAAAATAATTAAACACAAATAAGAATTAGAAAAAATAACGAGTACGTAATCATGTAGATGGAAAGATGGTATACATCCGTAAAATCTAATATCAACTGGTCAGCCTGTACGTACGTACGGTCAAAATTTTAATCAAAAACTAAATTTAACATTATAAATATTGGCTCATTTTAGATAAAATATAGTCCCGAGTCGTCTAAAAATTAAACCAGATTCTTGATTGCAAATACCAGGAACGGAAAAGTGTATGGCTTAGAGAAATTCCCAAAATCTAATTTTAGACTGGTCAGCGTGATCCGTCAAAGCCACTGTTGAAACGAACACCATCCACCCGTTGTTAAAATCTTTATCATTAACTCGAATCGTAAACACTCATTAACTTATTGTTTAAATTACAAATTTACCCACCGCTATAATTGACCCATTAATATTAAAGGCACTAACCGATCTACTGTTGAAATATTAAATTCGCTCAATGTTCAAATTACTAATCCACTTTTTAATATCACCAACGCCCATTGTATTAAAATCCACCGTTGAAATTGTTAATCACCATAGTTGCAAATCACTAACTTATCCGTCCACTTTTGAATTATAAACACTCCCATCATTGAAATCGTAAAATATAGAAAACTGATAAATAAATCTTCACAGTGTCAAAATATTAGTATAGATTGTTCGTTATTCATAAAACAATTTATCAAGTCAACCCTATCCTCCAAGCTTTATCAATGAAATGACTGTCGATAAAATAATTCATGAAATTGATCTATATTATAATCATGACTTTTTTATTATTTTCTTTATATATATTATAATTAAACATAACCCAAATAAAGCTTCCGTTCCTGGTTTTAGCGCGACGTGGTCGCGCAGCTACCTAATTTCTAATAATACATTTAATTATTCTACAGATTACTTGATTTCGCCGTTTTTCTTTTGGTTAAGCACATATCATTTAACTTGAGAACTTCCCAAAGTTTATCATAATTTTTTTTTTTAAAAAAAAGCAAATGTACTATTATATAACATTTTGACTACAGTACCTGCAAAAAGATTCAAAACTTATAATTTTAGCTTTTAATCTCGTGTTACATGAAATGCTACAGCACCACCAATTTATCATAATTGTCCGGAGGGTAGCGACGGACACTTAATTTCTACGCACTATGTAATACAAAAGTTACGTTTTTGATGCATTTTGACCATGAAAAATTCTTTTTTGATGCGTCAGTATAATTATCTTAATCAAATATATCAATATCGTAATTTGGAAATTTTTTGTCTGTCCACACGCGTGACGCGTGATTACAGGTTATTGATTAGTAATACGAAATTCATTAATTTATTTATACTTTATTTATTTATACTGTATTATATTTATTAATACTTTATTTATTTATGTTCCGGACTTATATCGGTTTCCGATTCCTAGTATATTTAAAGTTCTGAATAATCAACGATAATGCTGTAATTTGACTTAAATTGTGCAATAAACTTCATTTAGTTTAAAAATGATGTATGAAAATCTGGCAAATTGTTGTAGATTACGCATTTTTTGAAAAATTTATACGTACGTATTTAGTGCACACTCTGCTCATTCCTAACCGTTAGATATCTGATATAGAAAATCTTTTACGTTTATTACTCCTTTAGAAACTATTTCATACAATTGTGTAATACACATGATTTTAATTTTTCACTATATGAAAAATCGCATCGCACCGAGTGTAGTATGTAACGAATCGCAGGGATGGTAAAATTAGAGGGCATTTGCCTTTTTTTTCAAATGACCTAGATCATTTCAGACTAAAATTCATAATAAAATTAGGGCATTTGAAAGTCATTTGGAAGTCTGACAAATAGCATTTGATAGTAAATATCGTCATACATAGATTTCTCCGGTGTAACATCTACGATAAGACCCAAATGTGTTATTCCTCAATGAATAATATAAGTGCAAATTTGCAAAAAAATAAATAAAGATTTACAAAGTTACGTATCTTTTTTTACAAATTTGTG